TGGTTTTTGTATTCAGTTCTCTTTTTAGTGATAGGAACTAAAAGACCTTCTCCTTTCACAACCAGTCCATTTTGTACCCCTGAGAACAGAATGAAACATCACTATTTTTTGGAGGTGCTTTAGGTGTTCTCTTTTGTACTCATATTTAATATATTTAATTTCCTTTGTATCTTAGAATTCATGCTATTGATATTCATTCCCACTCCCTACCGCCCAACACTCACAAGAATAAATGCTAATAATTTTTTTCTGATTTGCTCACAGGTTTTATTCCTATGGAGCTGATATTGGATATTTCAAATTCTCAATAGTTCAATTATCTTTTTTCCTTATTTTTTGATTAACTGACTTTTATAGATGTGTATTTTGATGAAATTGGGATGACAGGCCTCTAGATACCAGACTCATCTGGGTTATAAATTAATTTACTGACACATTCAATCATTTTTAGTATTTAGAGTCCTCATCCTTGTCCTCTAGTGCTCTCTCTGCAACTCTATTCTGCAACTTTCTTTTCTTTCAGAAAAATGGGAAATTCCCTTCAGTAACACTAAGGTTCATTTTTGTGAAATGTGGCCACAAACACACAGTTTTAAGATCCTGGAGAGTTAGGATCAATGCAAATTTGTGAAAACAACCCAAATATAGAACCTGATCATAGAATCATAGAATGCCTTGGTGTGGAAGGGACCTCAAATATCACCAAGTTCCAGCACCCCTGACATGAGCAGTAGCACCTTCCACTAGACTACGTTACTCAATGGCTCTTCTGTCCTGAACACTTCCAGGAATGGGGCATCCACAGCTTCTCTGTGTAACCTGCTCAGTGCCTCACCACCCTCACAGTAAAGAATTTCTTCCTCCTATCTAATCTAAATCTCTTCTCTTTCACTTCAAAGTCATTACCATAACCCGTATCCTACCCCTACCTGTCCTTGTGAAAAGTGCCTCTCCACCTTTCCTGTAGGTGCCCTTTATGTACCGGAAAGTTCTCTAAGGTCTCCCCAGAGCATTCTCTTCTCTGGGATGAACAACGCCAACTTTCTCAGCCTGTTCTTATAGGAGAGGTGCTCCACCCCTCTGATCATTTTGTGGCCTCCTCTGGACTTGCTCCAGCATTTTCACATCCTTCTTATTAACTGCATGACTTAATTGGTTTATGTGCTTCCTTTCTAATTGCTTTTTAGTTTAATAAAGATTAAGCCTTGCCCAGCTCAGTGTCAAGCAAAAATTAGTTTCAGGGATCTAATTCCTGAAGAGGCTTGTTGACTCTGCGTATAAGTATCAGGAAAGAATTCAGACTCTGTGGTTATGTGGTTATTTATCAAACAGAGCATGAGAAACCAGGTATTCCTTGAGACACAGGCTTCTGAGAAAGGCTGTGAGACTGAAGCAATGGGAAGTTTGAAAAGGACAGGGAGTAGCAGCATGGTCAAGCAGAAAGGAAAGCATTTGGGATAAGGAAAAATTTATGCTGTTGGTGCCAGATCCTTGACTTACTTCTGATTTTCTGCAGCTGTTCCCAAGTGAAATGGCTTTATAGCCAGTAATATCAAAGTAAACTAAAGCAACAACAACTTTAATTGTCATTACAGGTGTTGGAGGGCAATTAGACCAAATAGTGGGACAAAACTATTCAATAACTCTTCTAACTTAACTTCTAAACTGGTATGTACCAGGACAGGAGAATAATGACTAGTTCCTGAATTCATAATAATAAATCTCTTCTCTTTGCACCAAACCAAATAAATATCAGCTTTGTTTTAAAAGGTAAGTCATAGCCTGCCTGTGATATACTCTGCCAAATTCCTCCACAGAAATCCATTACATATTACTTCTATTTATACAAAACAGAATGTTTACTTTTGAGGCATACTAAATAGATATGACTAAGACAACTATATATTATAATATATAAACAAATATATAAATAATAAACAGAGAAGCCAGACAGCATCTTCCATGCTGGCAATGCCTGAGAAATCTCTCAGTAAACCTGCAATCAAGTAATTAGAAGAGTAGTCCAAGAATCCGAAAAGTTCTGCTAAACTTGTTGACCATTTACTGGCTGAAGATTATTCAGTAAATTATTCATGATGCATGGGTGGGTGGGACTGGCAAATTAAAGGGATTATCCTGTATGTTCCCTAACTATGGAGTATGATTTTCTTGCTATCTAGTACCTATGACTCATGTCTGACAGGGCGGGAGTGAGACAGCAAGAACTATTTCACCTGCAATCCCAGAAAAAGCAGTATGTTAGAGCATAACACACACAGGTGTTTCCTATTTTACCATTGTTTACGACCTGTGTGTAGCCCAGTTCTTGTAAGCAGCTAGCTATACAGGATTAATATTAATAAATAATTTGAATTATCAGCAGTTTTCACCCTAATTTAGAAGTAGGTAAAACTGAAAATCTATCCAGTCACAAAGGACAGGACAGTTTTATGGCTGTTCAAAGACAGAAAACATCTCTTGAAACCAAATGTGAAGCCTTGGTTGTTATTATAGTGACCAGAAAAGACAATATTTTTTTTAAACTGATGCAGACAGCAGAGGAATCATGCAGATATGAAATGGAGAAGTTAGAGTTCTACTGTGGCCCTAGTCTCTTCTTAGAGGAAGTCTGCTGCACCCATGCGTGGGCACCGGCAGTGACACTTCCACAGAGATTTGTCCCATCTCCAAACACACAACAGGCCTTGTTTCTCTTCTGTCAACTGCTACTTCTTCTTCTTCTGTTTCATTTTTCCAGCTCAGTAGCTGAAACCTCCACTCTTCTTCTTTGTCTTCTGTTTACCCCAGTGCTGAACCAGATACGCCCAGTCCCTTCCTTACTTAAAATCTATGTGCAATTCTAGTCTTGACCTGGATCTCTGCTGTGTATAAATACATTTCTCTTTCAATCTTTATTCTCACCACTGGACAAGGCAAGCTATGTGCTGACTAAATTTTCTCTTGTACTCAAATAACAAGCTAACCTAAACCTAGATTACAGGGCTGAGTTGCCTGATTTTTAAATTGTTTTTTATTTATTTAACAGAAGAACATGAAGATACAAGGTTAGCACATTAACATACAAGTTTCAAGGAATGTTTCAAAGAAAAAGAGATTGAGAGATATGAAAACATCAGTGGAGAAATTCAGTTTCTGACCTTCAGCACTTTTGGTGCCAGCCAACAGCACTGTCCCCAAGGTGACAAGAGAATTATCTATGCAACATCTTTGCTGGGTTTTGGCTTGATTTTACATCCAAAGAGCTTAGACTGGACTCAAGAAGGTAACAGAGTGCACCAAGCTCCTGATCTCAGAGTCTGATTCAGCTTTGTCTGGAGTACTGGCTGTCACAAAACAGCTACTTGCTGAATGCAATTTCTTCATGTCTCTTCTGATTTTACGTGGTAGTTCAAGGTTTATGCATTCCTGATTACATGGTGGTTCAAGGTTTATGGATTCCTTCAAGCTCTGTGGACAAGGCAGCAGCCATTTCCCTGCTTCACCCAGAGGCTGTAGCTGTGGTTTCATGACCATTCTAATACACGGAAACCACCAGTGTCTGACATCCAGGCTGTTCACTACCTTGCTGTGCATTTCTGCAGACCCAGCTATCATTTTGCCATCCAACCACCACCACTACAGTGTCAGGCAGCAGCCTGTCCTTATGTGGGATTAGGTGATGCTGGAACTACAGCTGGTGAGTACCATTACCCAGGTAGCTGCTCTCCATTAGTGCTCTGATGGAACAATCACACATTTCTTTTACTCCGACCCCACAAATATATGCAGTGTCCAAAATGGGCATCCCTGCTGTTCTGAATCCTGGTCTGAATGAAATGGTAAGTGCTCTCTCAAAACTTTCAGGGTTTATCCTGAGAATGTCTCACAGACTGCTGTTTGCACATCTTTGCTCACCCTCACTGACTTTCCTGTTTCTCTTCCCAGCTTTTTATTTTTTGAGGTTTTGTATTTATTTAGTTCTGGTAGCTCTCTTTCACATCGTGCTCTTTCTAACACTGTTCTTAGCAGGAGATGTGCCTCTCAGAGGCAACCATCCTCTCACCCACAGCAGAAGGTGGCTGACTGATGGCAGGGGTAATGATAGTACAGCCCTGCTGCAATATTTTTTTTATGTTATTGTTTGCTCACAAAACCTTATGTGTTGCCTATCATGTTTGAGTAGGGATGACTCCGATTGAAGTGTAGAACTTTAGTTGAAAAATAAACAGAACTAACATTTTTCTGTTTAATTTTGGTCAAGAATATTCTTTTTAATGTCTCTACAAGAGATGTGACTCAAATTCTTCCTCTTTTTAGTGAGCTGCCATGTACTAATGATATGTTTTGGGGTCTGCATTCATGCCTTTGGCTCAAGAATAATTTTCAAAGCCCACTGGCTTCTCTATGTCTTCTTTTTTTACAGCAGGAACTCTTAAGTTGCTTTTCATATATGCCGACAGCTTGTTTTATATATAATATTTAAACAGTGAGAAATCACCTCTCAATTCTTGACAGTCTAATAACATGTTAGAGTGAAATCCCTGTTAACTCTGCTAAACACTTTGTTATTCTTGAACATTTAGCTTAATTATTAAACATAAAGCAAGTTCAGGGGGAAAGTGGATGTATAAGGAAAAAATTCTTTGCTCAGGTGCACATTTCTTTCCTTGATCAGTGGCACTTCTCACTTGTTCAGCAGCAAAACCTGGTACCTTATGGTAGTTGTATGGCTCAGGGAATCACTGTCTGCCTGAGCTTTAAGACTAACCAAATTGTGGTCAGAGGAAGTCCTGACCTGGTCTGTTCTACATGTCCCAGCACAATGATAGTCTCTGGCAGCTCAGCACCTTTTCTGTGGTTCTCCCTGCGTGACGAAAAGAGCGTTAGACGTCGCACATATGAGATTGCTATCACAGAGGAGCAAAAGGAAGGCTTGTTCCTTCCTGTGTGTGGGCTGAGAAAACTCTCAGTCCTTGGTCAAACAGGTCAAAGGCTGTCTTTTTCACTCTGCTTATGTATGCCATATGCTACAGCTGCATGAAATGACACATTTCAGTGTGGAGTCACAAAAGAGATTATAAGGTAAAATTCAAATATTTTATTGCTATAAATAGCAAAAAAAATCATAAACTATTTCAAATTGATAAAAAGTGCTGTAATTAAACTGTAATTATTCTGTCTAGAACTTGTACATTTTCAAAGCCAATTTGAAATATTAACAATAAGCATTGGAAAATGAATTGGTTTGTAAAACTTTTGGTGTAGCAAAGTTTCTGGGAAATTTCTTGTGCTTGTCTTGGGAATATTAGGCAGGCAAACAATTTTAATCATTTAAACATTTTGAGGTCACTAATTTTAAATGCAGGTGAACAGAAGGTTTATATAGATCTTGGCTTTGTAAAGATGTTTTGCCTGATGCTTCATAAATAAGAAATTTCTCTGAAAATGTTTTGCAGTTGCAGTCTATCACTTTACAGATGAGTGCAAAGAATTAAGAACTGCCGATTAAAACAAGTTTACTAATTTCAATCTTCAAAGGAATCAGACAGAGAAGGCGCTACTTTTTTTAAGAGATAATTTTTTAACTCTTACTTTGTTCTTTCAAAACTCTATCCAAGGTAAGAATAAATTTAATTAGCAAAGTATCTATGTGCTTGTCTATTTGTACATAAATCTGTATACAAGTCCGCATTTTGAGTTAAGTCTAAATAAGAATGCAGCTGTATGTGGCTATGTTCAACAACTGCCAAAAGATTTATATCTTTTAGAAGATCATTCCCCAATTAATTTTCACCTTTTCATCACTTTTCATAGTAGACTAGCTCAGGTAAAATTCTGTAGCAAAAAATACTTGCAGATGAAGTAAGAAGAAATTGAATTTTCATCTGCAAACCTTTATTTGCAATTTGCTCCGTGTATCTAGAAACAAACCATTGCTACCTATGTGTATTTTGTACCCATCCAACAAGATGCTAAAAAGATGGATCAGGTGTCATCAAAGAGTATCCACACATGATAGGTACTACATCTTCATGTTTCAGTATTTTCCCACCATCAATTTAAGATTTATAATATGAGTGCAAGATAAAACTTGCACAATTTACAGACAAACAGTGCCTTCATTATAACAAATGGCTGAATCTAGAGGCAAATGAAAAATCCTAGAGTGCAGTTTAGTAAATCAAAATCTCATTCATAATTATGCAAAATGTAGTTTTAACCCTGAGAGGCACAGGTTACTGCTGTCATATGCAGGATCACAACAGTTATAAGACTGTAAACTTCATGGGATAACATAATTTCAGATGCAATTCAGTAGTTTCTCTTTAGGAATCTGTGATATTCCAGTTAACAATAAAGGAAATAACAAAGAAAAATGTTTTCTCCTATTTTTTTCCTTTTCAGTAACCTTCAAAAGAGGAACTTATGAGTATGCTTAACAGCTGCATAACCCAACAGAACCATACCTCAAATGGCACAGTGCTGGACTCTTCAGAGAAACTCCACGCTGTTCTGATAGTCCTGTACATCATTAACCTGGCTGGCGGCACCCTCGGGGTCATCATGATGTCCCAGCAGCTGTTTCAAAGGAGATCCCAATCTGTGATGACCATCATGATCATCAGCCTCCTGGTGCTGCACAGCTTCATGCTCCTCAGCATCCCATTCCGCCTCAGCTACTACATTTTGGGGGAGTGGAAATTCGGGAGGTTTGCCTGCAGGCTGGCGAGCGCCATCATCTACCTGCACATGTACGCCACCTTTGCCTTTTACTCGGCCATCATCGTAGCGCGCCTCCGCCGCCTGGAGTTTCGCAAGTGCTACACTGCGGCCTGGGTGGGGGCAGTCTGGCTGCTGGGAGCACTGGTGGTCACGCCTGTTCTCCTCTCCTACTACGGCACCTCGAAGACTTACCGCTCCTGCGAGTGCTTCCAGTTCCACAAGGAGCTGCAGGAGGCTCACATGGTGATCGCGAACTACTGCCTGGTTGGGATTTTGGTGGCAGCGTGTGCTGTGCTCACCGGAATCCAGCTGACTGTGATCTATAGGGTAGCCATGAAATACTGGCCTGACATTAACTCTCACGTGGAATTCAGGGCTCAGGCAAAGAGTTTCTTCTTCATCTTGGTAACATTAGTCTGCTTTATGCCTCATCATGTGTTCAGAGTATATTACATCCAAAACTATGACCTTGATAAAGACCATAAACTACTCCTATACAATGAGGTTTTTTTAGCTTTAGCAACAATGTGCTGCCTGGATATGTTGTGCTTCATAGCAGGAATAGCCCACTGAACTGTGAGCTAGCAGGAAGTCCAGCTGCAGTGTGTCAATACTGGCTTTGAGAGAAACAAAACTGTGTTGGGATTTTCCTGAGCTAGGAAGACTGGTGAGTTTATGGCATGCCTGAATAGGTCTACAGCATTGTTTGGCTTTTGCAGGCCAGTAAGATTCCTCTTTCACAAACTACTTTTTTTTACCTTCTCTCTAGAAGGCAGACACACTTGAGTCTTACTCTAGTCTTGACCTAAGAGTCATGCCCTGAAGCTTCATTAAGATTTTCCTTAGCTGTCCTTCTCTAGCAATTACAGCACAAGTATCCATTCCCTTGTAATTTTTTCCTCAAAGTGTCTCAGTAACCACAATCCATTGTGGCCAATAAGTTCTCTCCTCTGAAGGTCTAACTTTATCTGGCAATTGTGATACTGAAGGGAAGGGCTGTAAAAAAAAAAATTCCTTTACAGGATATTTGTACTAGTGATTTTAGATAGCAAGGACATAAACTCTACTCAAATGACAAGTATTCACAGAATCACAAAATGGGTCAGACTGGGAGAGACCACAGTGGGTCATCTGGTCCGACCTCCCTTTGTATAATTTATACAAAGTATATATTAAATTAAATTATGTGAAAACTAATTATTATCATAACTTTGTCTTTACTTGTGTCACTCCAAATCCACAAGGAGCTCTGAATTGTGATAATTATATATTTAGAGTGAATCAGAGCAGAACAGGTTTCAAAACTTCTGCCTTTTGTCACTCTCCCATCAGGACTGGATCTGTTATCTCTTAGGTCCATTGTAGCCAAAAAAAGTTGCTGTTCTTTCATAACTGGATCTGGAATTCAGTTGTGGGGAAAGATCAGACCCTCTCCAGGACAGGGAAAGACTTTATTAGCCTTCAAAACCCTTTGATGTCTGGTCACTTTCAGTTGTCTGTTGATTTTGTTATCAGATGCCATATTTTTTCCATTTACGCACATAAAAAAGCAGAACCAGAACAAACTTACTGAACAGTGCTTAATCAGTTCTGCATATGCTTGTGTATGTGTATACAAACTTGTTCTGAAGTATATCTTTTCTCCATTAGATAGATCATACTCTGTGGGAATCACATCTGTTTTGGGAATCTCTGTTTTATCTTCATGATTTGAAAGTTCTTTTTAATGATTCATTCTTCCTGCTCTGCTCAGCGCAGAAGGTCTCTAACCCCTCTCTTGAAGGCCCCACAGTCATCTGCTGCGTCCCAGCAGCTTGAGGCCAGATTTCTCCCACCCCAGACTCCCAGGAGTCACACGAGGCTACACTTCCTCCTTCACAGCCCTATAAGTACCCATAATTTTTAGTCTGGCAATCCTTGCTACAGAAACTGCTATGATCCCTGGATTGAAACACATTAAAGCTTGATCTGGGAGGATAATAAAGTACACTTACAAAGTAATGCTACTAATACCTCAGATTGATGACATTTCTTTGAATGAAAAAACTTATGCCTACTCTCAATCCTGAATAAATGTTTTTGCCTTGACATTTACATAAAAAACTTTGTTGAAAACTCCTATGGTTTCAGGTTCCTTTCTACCACTTTTAAAAAGTGTAAGGTGTCCAGGGTCCAGCAGCAAGTCCCAAAATCTGAAAATCCTGGTCTGATGGCTTCTTCTGGAGTTACCGTGCCTTCTTCTGGAGTTATCCTATTCAAAAAATAATTTGATTAGCCCATGATTTTCAAGGGCAGCAGGTAGACCTAGACTTTAGTATCACGGAGATGAAGTAGAAAGGGAAAGATTTTAAAGTTGGATCTATCAAAGCCTTTAGAAAAACTGGCAAAGTTGCAGGTAGTGCAACACTGTTTTTCCCTTACTGTACTACTGGAGCTAAATAAAAAATTTGTTCCTTGAAGAAATGTCCTGTGTCTCTGCCTATTCTCACTGACCAATGTTACCAAGGTGACCTGCCTGGGAAAGATCAGAGTCATCTGACCTTGCTTGTGAGTCTGCTGGTGATCTATCTGTCTACCATAATGTTGTGCAAGTATGGGGGAGAAAAAAGGAAAATTACATGCATGTCCTCAGCCATTCAACCAACCATGTCTTGATGGCCTTGGCTGTGTACTGCCTGACATTTTTGACGTTGCTGAAATAACCCTGACCCGCAGACTTGACTTCCTGGTGAGATGCTGAAGCTGTGTTGCCCATCACAGCTGTCTGATAGCCATGGCTGCTGGCTGGCACCAGCACCAGCTCTGGTGGGATGGGGTGAACCTGCACAGCACCAAGGCTTTCTCTCTTTCCCACTCTGCCCCACAGTGGGTAGGCTGTGGGCAGAAAAGACAGTGGGAGAGCAAATGTGTAGATATCACTATGGTCCTTCTAATTCAGAGGATAATGGATTAAGCATTGATCTCAGTGTTGTTACATCAAAGGCTCACATTAAAGTGATAGAGATAAGGTCTATTCAATACCTGCTGAGTCCCCTGCTGAGATCTTTGAATGCACTTTAAAAACGGGTTAAAATAAAAAATTATCACTTTTCAGAAGGATGGTCTGAGAAATAAATTCTGAAAGGACAATAATATTGAGCTCAGATTGTAGGGTACTATTCCTTGCTATGAATTATATAATGACATCCCCTGGAAAACAGTTAAAAATGTTGATTTGAATGCTGTTTGCAAGACCCAAGTAGTTCTGGAGATAATTATAGACATTAATAATTGCTTTCACATCAAAGGATCATGTAAAATTGTAAGCCATTTAGTCACCCCATTAATTTTTAATGCTATCCAATGAAGACTGGGAAAATCCTCAGACATTCTGGAGCAAAGAATATCAAACCACTAAGCATATCTTCCATTGTTATTTCTGCATGAAGTTCTGCATAAACAGAGCAGGCAAGCAGACCAAAACCAAAATCCCATCTGTATCCCTGACTTCCTAAGTTAGTTTGATGGAAAGCTATAGGTGGTTCTTACCACACAAGTGAGTGTGCTCACTGCTGTCACAGCTACACCGCTGCCACAGGTGGCCTGCTTCCATCTAACTCGAGCGTATCCTTCCCAACAGTGCAGAGGGTGATGCACAAGAGATGCCTCTGGTTTTAATTCATATCTTCCTTTTGATTCATCTGTTCCTTGTGCCTGCTCACAGAAAAAGGTCATATTGATGGTGTTGTCAGATTGACATGCCCCTCTCTGCAAACAAGCAGAAGGAACAGGTGCATTAGGAGGAAACAAAGGCACACTCCCGCTCCCTTCTTTTTCTTCTTCTGCACTCAAGCAGTGACACTCTTAAGACTAACAGATACTGTCATAACTATCTGTCTCTTTTTTTTTTTTTTTTCTGTGTCAACCCTAAACATAAAAACACACTACAGTCCTTGAATTTCATCACATACATTCCAATTTGGAGCTTTGAGTGCCACCATGAGCCACAGAGCAGCTATCTGGCATACAGAGCAGAACTGCATGTGGGTTAAAATTATGAAAGAAATTGCAAATTGCTTTATCCATAAGCACATGGGCAAAACATTGCAGAAAAGCTACAGGAGGGCAGCACTTGTTGCAATGATTGTTGCACAGAGAATTAATACCAGACAAAACTAAACCCAGAGAAATCATGAAAAAATTAACTTTAAAAATATCAAAGCTACAAAAGACCATAAAAAAAACCCCTACAAATTCTTCGTCTTCTTTACTACACTGTTTTCAGCTGTCAATGAGGAGCCATATACTAAATCCATGATAAGTCAAGACCATGTGTTGTCACACAAAGTGGGAGACAGAAGTTGTACAGAAACATCTTGTTCATCAACCAATGATTTTCTGATTAGACTGACAACCAGAGAAGAGCCATCGCTCAGGAAGAGGACTCTGATATCGTACTTGATGAAAGAGTTGCAGCTTCTGACTCTCTTGGGACTGAGAAGGCATCCCTGCCTGCAGGAGCTCTCCTGCTTCAAGGAGATGTATGCAGTCATTTATGGAAAACCACAGGAGAACCGAGGTACATGTAGAAACACACAAGCAGATTTGCACCCAGCAGAAGAGGGGAAATCTGGGCTCCAGAGGAAGTAATTTTCTTTCTGACAAGGAAAGATGTGATGGGGGTTCTCAGTTCCTCAATGCTAGCAAAAGAGTAGTGCTAGCAACAGCTCTCTGCTTTTATGTCCTGGCAGGCAAGGACAGAGATGATGAATGTGTCAGAGGAAGAAAGCCTGCAGGAGATAGACTAGAAGACATTGACTTGCATGATGATTCTTTCATTCATCAATTCTCACAAGTATTTGGAAAGACTGATCTGTGCTTTCTAAGACACTGCATATTGCTGCATAGAACACCTTGTAAGTTCTAAAACTCCATGGGAATAAATTGCATTCATCTATTTAGCAAAAAAAAAAAAAAAAAAACCAAAAAAAACCAAAAAAAAAAAAAAAAAAAAAAAAAACCCAAAAACACCAAACCCCCTCCAAAAAAACCCACTATGAAAAGGTAGAACCTTTTCTATTATATTAAAAAATAGCATAAAATACATGCTACTTTATTTTCATGCTCTGCTTGGCAGAAGTGTCAAACACAGTGATGTGTCTTACACAACACAACAATTTACTCAAAGATGTGATAAAAAATGCTTCAGACATATTTTTTAATAAATCCACTTCTTGTAGCAATTCTTCCTTACTCATTTTCATATCCTCTATCTGTGGAAACCCCCTCTGAAATGTTGCAATAAGGAAACCAGCAGGTGAAAAGTCTTCCTTCTGGAAAAAAGCTGGAAGAAGAATTTTCACAAGCTCCACATTTTGTTTTTCTATTTTCATTATCATTCCAGCCCCCTTTCCAAAACTTAACCTAAGCGGGTAACTGCTTGTGTATCCTGGATGGAGCAAATGAAGAAACAAATTCAGAAAGAGGCTTTTCCACAATGAGGAACAGCAAGACAACTCATGGACTCCTCTCCTGCTCCTGGTGTCTCTCTCAGTGTCCTTTCATTCTGCTGTGAAAGCACGAAATGTCAGGGCACAGGCTGGTGGTGCTTG